AATTAAGTGGCTGTGGTGATGCACACCTGTAGTCCCAGCTATTCAAGAAGCTGAGGATGAAAGACCACTTGAGCCCAGGAGTTCAAGGCTGCAGTAGACTATGACTGCACTAGTACATTCCAGCCTGGGTGACAGAGTGAGACCCTGTCTCTAAAAATTAAAATATAATAAAATAATTTTAAAATTCATTGAATTATTTTTTTAAATACTGAAAGGAAAATTATACCGTAAGATAAGTGGATTACTGGTAACTTTTATTCTGTATTAAGATGTCCCAGTTTAATAGTTCTAAACCATTTTCAACATGTTATACTAGAATAAAAATAAGTATGTTTTGTTATAATTAACTATTGTTAGATTTTGAATTAATATTTCTAAAATCCAGAACCTTACAGAATTTTCATTTGTACATAATACATAAATACCTTATTGCTATCTTTTGACAGGTCTGAAGGAAATGTAACCTCATTGTTTTTACTTAAAATAATGAATTTTTCCTCCTTAATGATAGAAAGGGAAAGTTCAGAAAATGCTGAAAGGTTCAAGGAGGTCATAATGATATCATCTAATTATATCAGTTAGGAATAAACATTTTTGACATTTTTGTTATGTTTCCTTCTAACCCCACTTATTTCCCTATATATATGTATGTGCATGCATATGTGTATACACATACTTCATGTATATATTTATTTACACATATACCTTAAAAATAGTATTGAATCATACTGTATATAGTGTTTTATCTTGTTTTAGTCCTATCTCAAACATATTTCTCTAGCATTAAATGCTATTTGAAAACATCATTTTTAGTAACTACATAGTATAGTCATAATGTGTAAATTTGCCATATGCAATTTTTCTGTTGTTTTATACTTAATTTATTTATGTTTTTAAATTATAAAAATGCACTAGTGGACATTTTTGTGCATAAGTTTTTCTTTGATGTTGTGAATATTTCCTTCCAATAGATTTTTAACTAGATAATTAGTGGGTCCATGAATAAGATTGCTGAAATGCTTTTCAAAAGGTTATACTAATTTATACTGCTCCCAGAAGCACATAAGAAAATGCTTCAGCTACACAGTCTATTATCCTGTGTTCTTTCAAACTTCTCTGAAAATACATATCTCCTGACTTTTAAACTATTGATTAATTTTCCTTTCGTGTTTTAAATAAATGGACTGTATGTTTTGCTTTCTTATGTTTGGTGCATGTGTCTTTTTGATTGTTATATTTGTGCTATTTACCTATATTGTTATTTATAGCAATAGTTTGTTCATCTCATTGCTCTATAATATTCCATTGTATGAGCATGCAACAATTTATCCATTCTATTAACAGATACTTGGCGTCATTATGAGTAATGTTTCTAGGAACATTCATGTTCATGACTTTTGATGAACATAGGTGCACATTTCTTTTTTTTTTTTCTTTTTTCTTTTTAGTGTATGTTTCTGATGGATAAATATGTAGAAGTGGAATTACTGGGTTATAGAAAATGCTTAGTATATACTGCCCAACAGTTTTCCAAAGTAGTGGTTTCAGTTTTCCCACCATGAGCAGTATAAGAGAATTCTAATTGTGTTGCATCCTTAAAAACACATACACTGTATTGTCTTATTATTATTATTTTTTGAGTTGGAGTCTCACTCGGTCACCCAGACTGGAGTGCAATGTCACGCTTACGGCGACCGCAGCCTTGACCTACTGGGCTTAGGTGATCCTTCTGCCTCAGCCTTCCAAGTAGCATGTGCAGCCATGCCCGGCTAATTTTTTGATTTATTGTAGAGATGAGGTCTTGCTAAGTTGCCCAGGCTGGTATCAAACACATGGGCTCAGGCAGTCCTCTCACTTCAGCCTCCCAAAGTACAAGGATTATAGGCATGAGCCACTGGGCCTTACCTGTCTTTTGAATTATAGCCTTTCTGGTGGGTATGCGGTGACATCTTGCTATGGTTGTAATAGAATTTCCCTGATGATGAAATAAATTGAAATTGAGCATCTTTTCATATGGTTATTGATCATTTGAATATACAGGGTTCCCTTTTTCTTTAAATTTGTAAAATTGTTCTTTTAACATATCATGGAATTGATTTTTTTTTAGTTATATGTGTTACAAATATCTCCTACTATACAACTTATAAGGCAGAGTCAGTGTTGAAGTCAGTTTATATATCTTATTTTTACAGAGAGAATGATAAAATGTAAGTGAAATTCACTTTTGGACTTAAGTGAAGTTACATTGATGTTTAATTTTTTTATGGCGAAATTTGCTCTTTGGTTCCATTTCAAGAAGTTATGGTGTATACTACTTAAATTTCTTTTTTTAAAAAAATTGTGTCATATAACTTCAATCTTTTTGGAAAATTTATTAGTAGAAATAACTTTGTTATTTTCTTTATTCAGATTCTCTATTGTTAATATTTAACTTCACTTTCTTTTTTCTGTATATTTTCTTTTTCAATATATATTTGTTACATTTCTTTGAAATATTTGAGAGTAATTTGTACCTATCATGTATAAATACCTTTACCCATAGATACCTTAAGTATGTATTTCCTAAAAACAAGATTTTGTCATATAAAACAACAACTCAATGAAATAACAGGAAATTTAAAATTGATACATATTATTATCAAATACAGTCCGTATCCAAATTTCAACAGTTGTCCCCACTTGCAGTCCTTATAACTTTATTTTTTCTTGATCAGGGATTCAATCCCGGATCACACATTACATTTAGTTGGTATTAACCTTTCATTGTCTTTCATAACCTTGACATTTTTTAAGAATACCGGCCAATTATTCTGTAGAATGTTCTTCCAGTTAGGTATTTTTGTAGGTTTCTTTATGTTTGGATTCAGGTTATGGGTATATGACAGGAAGACTACTAAAGTAATATTCTGATGTCTTCAGGGAGTTTTACTGAGAGTCATATCATCTCTCTTTACCCCCTGAACTGTTGTTTCTAACTTTGATTACTTTGTTAATTCATTGTAAAGTTACTATTTTTCATTTTATAATTAAAAACTAATATATGGGGAGACACTTTGAGATTGTCTATATTATTTCACCTCAAACTTTTAGTCACTACTTTTAGTAGCATCCTTACTCTTTTTTGTTGTTTTTAAGAATTTAACTATACTTTGTTTCCCCTCATTTTATTCAACCTCTCAGAAATAATGTTTTCTCAGAATTACTTTTGAAACATTAGATGAACTTAGGAAATTTTGTTATGGTCAGTCAGAAATATAAAAATTATGGATGTAACAGTGAGGCTTCATTTTAGCCAGATTTATTTGAGATTTTTTTTTTTTTTTTGAGTTGGAGTCTTACTCTGTCGCCCAGAATGGAGTGCACTGGCCGCTCCCGGCCACCACAGCCTCGACCTGCGGGGCTCCGGTGATCCTTCTGCCTCAGCCTTCCAGGTAGCTGGAACTACAAACGCTCACTACCACGCCCGGCTAATTTTTGATTTATTGTAGAGATGAGGTCTCGCCAAGTTGCCCAGGCGAATCTCGAACCCCCTGGCTCAGGCAATCCACTCACCTCAGCCTCCCAAAGCCGCGGGATTACAGGCTGAGCCACTGAGCCCAGCTGAGATCTTAAAGGCTTAAGATCTCTTAATGGCTTAAGAGATCTTAAACTTAAAACATGTAAATCAATAAGTTTGGATTTTTGACAGTGTTTATTATAACAGATTGGACTTTTTTGAAGTGGAAATTTAGTTGTAATTAGAGGCATCTATAGTTACTATGAGTATTGAATTTTTGGTTGTTTTCACTAAAATTGTTAATAAACCATAGCATACAATGTGCCTTCTCTAACTTGATTGTTGTACCGATATAATAATATGATACTTACTTGTAACTGTCATGGATCGATAATGAAATCGAGGTCCTTGAAGAACTTACATATGCTTGGAGGAAAATATTTCATAAGTCACAAATTAAAATACTTTTGTGTTTTTATATTGCAGATTGGTTTTTCAGCAGCAGATGCAGTAACAGGACTGAAATTGGTAGAAGAGGGAGTACCCAAAGAACATTTAGCGTTATTGGCAGTTCCAATGGTTCCTTTGCAGATAATATTACCTCTGATTATCAGCAAATACACTGCAGGTCCCCAGCCACTAAATATATTTTACAAAGCCATGCCCTACAGGTAAAAACGAAATAAAAGTTTACTAAATAAGAAAGGTTAAAATGAGGAACATTTATCAATGTCACTAATATCTGAGTGTAGTGTATATATGGAAAAAAAAGCTCGAAAATCATCTTTAATTTCAGTATCATTTATATGCACTTTTATCTCTTTTTAGCTTCCTAACAGGTTTTAAATACAGGCTTCTTTCATATGGTAGGGGCACATATTTCTGTTTGTGTTTTTGTTTAACCTAAAATGGAAGTCAACTCAGATGTTCCTTTCTTTTTCTATAGATTATTGCTTGGATTAGAATATGCCCTACTGGTTTGGTGGACGTCTAAAGTAGAACATCAAGGGGGATTCCCAATATATTACTATATCATCGTGCTGCTGAGTTATGCATTACATCAGGTAAGCTTCCTGTGACTTCCTCAGAAAGTAAACTGTTCTATATAAAATGAAGAAACTTTTCTACAGTTGCTTTAAAATAATGGTAATAAATTCTAAGATTTAATCATGAATCAGATATAATTATTATTTGACAGTGAACTTTAAGACTATGACTTTTTTTTTTTTTTTTTGAGTTGGAGTCTCACTCTGTCACCCAGACTGGAGTGTAGTGGCTGCTCCTGGCCACCGCAACTTCGACCTGCTGGGCTCCGGTGATCCTTCCACCTCAGCCTTCCAAGTAGCTGGAACTACAGGGGTGCAGCTACCATGCCCGCTAATTTTTGATTTATTGTAGAGATGAGGTCTCGCCAAGTTGCCCAGGCAGGTCTCGAACCTGCGGGCTCAGGCAGTCCACTCACCTCGGCCTCCCAAAGTGCTGGGATTACAGGCTGAGCCATCCAACCTGGCCAAGCCTATGACTTGATTCAGTTCTCTTTATGAAAAGTTTCTTATTCATTCATTTACTTAAAAAAATTCATTCAACAAGTATATTTCAGAATTGATTCCAAAGCCAACTAATTCTACTCTTGATAACACCCTCATTCTGTCCCTAGATTTGGGATCTTTCTTTAAGTCTTAATATCTTTTCTTTCTGAAAGTTTTGAGAAATAATAAATGGCTACTGGGTTAGAGCTCCCAGGTTTAGTTTCTGTATTGAACGTTATGACTTACTCTTTGTGAAGCTATGTGTTAAAGCTGTGTTTTCTTTCTTTGTTAAATATGTTAGTAATCCCCACTTTGCTCTAGCCTCACCTAAGCTGCTGTTGTAGAATGAGGTTTTTTGTTCTGGCTGCAAGTGATTCAAGTAAATGGAAAAGGCCCAGCAGTAACCTTTGGGATTCAATTACAGTTATTACTAATGCATATTTAGAATCACTATGCATTTTTTGGTGGAACATAGTCTAAAGCCTTTGAAAGTTATATTTGGTAATGTCTTACTTAGTTTTTAACTGAAACCTAAATATATATGGCTTCCAAGTAATCTCAGTAGTTTTGTGCATACAGTAAATCATTTAGGAGAGTTCCATAGTGGATCATGTCTGACTAAATTATGTTTATAAAATCCTTGAGGCCAGGCAGTCAAATATAATTTTTTTCTGTTTTGCACAGGCTTACTTAATGATAAGCACATAATAGAAGTTAAAATAAGTGCTTATGCTCAATAAGTGCTTCACTATCTCTGTCTACATGTTTTAGTCCCCAAATTTTATTTGTCTTTGGATTTCATTTGAGAATTTCCCCAAATGTGTAGTCATTGAAACTCAAGACAACCAGATGCTTTTTTGGGGGGAAAAAAAAGATACAAGGCCAAGCAAATTTGAGAAATTATATATAACATGACTCTTTTGTAAGTAGCATCTTAATCATTCCTCTAACAAATATTAAATAAACACCTTCTCCCTGCCAGAAACCATTCTGAATTCTGAAATGTAACTGAATAAATCATGCCATAGTTCCTGCACTCAAGGAGTTTATATCATGAAGTTTTTCAGAAAAGCTACAGTGAAAGGAACCTTTTAAATTTTGTGTAACTATGTCTCTCAGTCTTACTTGACTTTGGAACTTTTTTCTGTACTCTCCATGGAAATTTTGGAAACATGATTTGTTTCCATCTTTCTAAATAGAAAGTTGATTCTTGCCTCTTAAGCACTTTTTGCCTCTTAGGGAGGTTTTTCTGTTCAGTTTGTCACATATATTTTGAAATTTTCGTGTGTGTGTATGTATGTGTATGTATAGAAGTAAAAAATATAACGTGCTCAGTGGCTCACCCTGTAATCCCGTACTTTGGGAGGCTGAGGTGAGTAGATTGCCTGAGCCCACAGGTTCGAGACCCGCCTGGGCAACTTGACAAGACCTCATCTCTACAATAAATCAAAAAATTAGCTGGGCATGGTAGCGCATGCCTGTAGTTCCAGCTACTTGGAAGGCTGATACAGAAGGATTGCCAGAGCCCAGCAGGTCGAGGCTGCGTTGGCCAGGAGTGTGCCATTGTACTGCAGTCTGGGTGACAGAGTGAGACTCCAACTTAAAAAAAAAAAAAAAAGAAGAAAATATAATCGTATTTTAGTATGGGAGCGTTTATGTGTATAAGTATATAAATGTAAATACATAATACATAATATATGATATATATTTAAGTACAGTACAAATATGAGGTTTTGCATTTTGCTATATGCATCCTTCAGTGCCACTTCCTCTGTCACTTTCTCTGTTGATCCTTCCTTCATTGTGATAGAATTAATCTCTCATTTATATTTATGCCCAGTAGTATGATGTGTACTTCTATTTACAATACTTAGTACATTTCATCATAATTATTACCTATTCTCCCAACCTAGAATAAATTCTTCAAGGACACCAAAGGACTCTTTCTTATTCATTTTTATATTGCCATGATCTTAAAGGTTAGCCTATAGTAGGGGCTTGATAAATGTTTGTTAAATTGAGTTTAAGAAAGATCATGAAAATTAATTTTCAGGCTTATGATTTTGATGTTCTTAATTTAAACCATAGTTTGATAAGTCTAATCTTACTAAATATGTTTTACATCTTCCCCGAAGGTTACCTTGTACAGCATGTATGTTTCCATAATGGCTTTCAATGCAAAGGTTAGTGATCCACTAATTGGAGGAACATACATGACCCTTTTAAATACCGTGTCCAATCTGGGAGGAAACTGGCCTTCTACAGTAGCTCTTTGGCTGGTGGATCCCCTCACAGTGAAGGAGTGTGTAGGAGCATCAGACCAGAATTGTGGAACACCTGATGCTGTTGAGGTATGTTTTAATTTTAGATAATGCTAAGCTAATATTAAGATATTAATTTCCTTGTTTTGCCTCTGAAAGTACTATCCCTTTTAAAAAATCATATCTGCACATAGTTTCTAGTGTAGAAATCTATATATATTTTTCCTTTCCTGTCCTAACTGAGGGTAATGACGCATTCAGATCAGCAAGACTAGCTCACTCAAAGGTGCTTCTCTGCAGAGAAGAGGCCATCTCTCTTTCCTCCACTTTGAGGATCACTGTCCGATCCATAGAAAAGGGGAGCTTCTACAGGCTGTTGATAACAGCAATTGTAGGTATAAAACTGAGCGGTGAGTAACATTAGTTCACATCCAGAGTAGGTTCACTGGAAATTTTTGTGTGTGTGTGTGTGTGTGTGTGTGTGTGTGTGTGTGTGTGTGTGTCTTGGAGTCTCACTCTGTTGCCCAGGCTGGAGTGCAGTGGCAGGCTCATGGCCATCCCAGCGCCAACCTGCTGGGTTCAGGCAATCATTCTGCTTCAGCTTTCCAAGTAGCTGGAACTACAGGCGTGCACCACCACACCCAGCTAATTTTTTTATTTACTGTAGAGAAGAGATCTCACCGAGTTGCCCAAGCTGATCTTGAACCCCTGGGCTCAGTCAGCTTTCTTGCCTCAACCTCCTAAAGTACTGGGATTATAGGTTTGAGCCACTCACTGTGCCCGGCCATGGAAATTTCTTTACATTTCCAAATATGAAAAGCTGTATCTTGAAAATCAGTATTATTCACGACAAGAGCTGAAAATTGTTTATAATCCTATTAGTAGCATTAGAGAGATTGAGATAAATTAGCATATTTTGCCATTGAAATTAAAGTGAAATGTTAAAATGTTTTAAGAATAACATATTTTGATTAATCCTTAACATTGTAAAGTAGAAGCATATTAATTGCTGAATACTTTCACTTTGGAGTTGTAGAATGTTTGTTATAATTTTATTTTTACAGCTTTGCAAAAAAGTTGGTGGCTCATGTATTACAGCACTGGATGGTTATTATGTGGAGTCCATTATTTGTGTTTTTATTGGATTTGGTTGGTGGTTCTTTCTTGGTCCAAAATTTAAAAGGTTACAGGATGAAGGACCATCTTCATGGAAGTGCAAAAGGAACAATTAATGCACACGTCACTGGACATTCTAGAAAGGTAATTGTCATTTAGTTTTAATTCAGAGAGCTATGATAATCAGTACACAGGAGTATAAAATATTATTTTCAACAAGAAATTATTAATATAAAATGCCAAATGGTTGAAAAATAGAGACCTCTATATATTTGATCATATTTTTCCTTGCTCTGTCGATGTATTTAAAATTTACTTAAGGTCATGAAATTGGTTCTAAAATAATTTTTCTGGCCTTGTTATTTGATTTATATCTTTTTAATTTACTGACCAAAGCATGTTCTAAGCTGCAATGCAATAGTCATGGGTGGTATCCATGCAGTTAAGTATTGTTATCAGTACTTATCATTGAGCTGTATTTAAAATTTTGGTACAATAGATTAAGTGGAAAATAGCTTGATATGCAGGTATTAACTATAACTAGTGTGACCTTATTGCAGTTAAAATCTTTTTGTTTTAAACTGTAAATTGATTAAATTTTATGTAGAAGTTGCTGAGAAGAGAATGTAGACTACATACATGTCATTTTAGTTGTTATTTCCTGATATAACCACATTGTACAAATGAATCTGTGCTAAAAAAAAATAAAAGACTATTTTAAGTGTAATTTCCTGCTTTTGTAAACGTTAAAGATTTATAAGAAGATTACTCAAACTATTTTTTATAAAATGAAAGTTATAATTTTTTAATTTATTGATTCCTCCTGCCCCTGCCCCTTCTTTTGGAAAATATTTCTATTTCTTGTTAACTTTTCCCCTAAAGCTTAACATTTGTTTTTTGCCATAAGTGCTTCATCGCAGAGAGACAGCTAATGAGGGAATTAAATTTAGTGTTGTATGTATGTTTGTGGCAAAGTTTTGAAAATAAAAATTAAATGTTATTCTTCAAGAAGTTTTTTTTTAATCACAAGAGAAAAGATGGTAAAGCCTTCTGATTAGGTAAAATGTAAATGAGTACTATCATAATTTTAAAACTAATATTTTAAAGAAAGACAGATATTTTGTGCCTTTGACAAAATTTTGTAGTGGAAGAATGTTTAATTAAGCACTTTACTGGTGAAAAAGATCTCCCAATTACTTTATGCCAAATTGTGTACTGTATTTTCATTAATTAAAACACAATCTTTTGTTTGTAAACTAGAGTTTCTAGTGAACAGTTGTCATTCCAGGAGAATTAAGCTTTTGAGTACTTTAGCAGTTTTCAACATACTGGGTACACCCAGTGATAAGATTTTTTTGCATATTTTGCTATACATTACTCTGGCTTTTTAGAGATTATATAAATTATTCAAAGGTTAGAGAAAATAAGAGATTAAGTTACAAGTCTTAATAATTTTATCTTTGTGGGAAAATATATACTAACTCTTGATTTTGTTAATTTTATAACATAGGTTGAATTTTAGAGTGGGGTTTTTATAAGTAATGGAGGATAAAATGGGTGGGAGAAAATGGCACACAGCTTCTGAAGAAAGGGGCAGTGGCCTCTAGAACACATGCATTGCCATTGGAAAGCCAGTGTTGGACATCGATGTCAGATCCTGAAGAATCACCTGAAAAAATAAACATCCTAGAGGCATGGAGGCTACACCAAACCATGGACTACAGTACTTGGTGACATGGTTGTCTATTATCATGTATTATAATCAAAATGTTTACTTGAATAAAGAAAAAAACCCACTTAACTCTCACATGTGAAATTATTTTGATTTTTAATTTTTGGATTAAGTTTAGATTGCCATAATAATCTTTTATTTCTTCCAATGTATATTATTGCAAACAAATTACATATACTTTTAAACATAGTTTTAAGTCTATACATCTTTAATGACTTGATTTTTAGAACATTTAAAATCTTGGACTATAAGGTGAAGGTCATTAATTGCAATTACTCTAGAAACAAACAAAAATATTTTGAATTGTAGCCATTGGTAATTTGGATACATGCTGGTAATACATACCAAAAAAGAACTGCTAATAGCTATGTTCAACTGTACATTGATCATTAATGGCATTTAAAAATGATCTATCTGAATGGTTCTGTTCATTGTAAATCAATAGTACTAGAAAATACTACCCTATTTTTGTGTGGGTGTTTTTCTTGGTTGATTTATTCTGATACATTAAACTGTATCCTAAAGTGTGAACATTAATTCTTCCAGTTAGTGCATTATTTATTTCCTGGCTAATATTAGATTGAACATATATCTCTTTATGTCACTATTTCCATATATTCATTGGTTGCAACATGTATGCATATATATCTGAGTTTTAAAAATTCTTATACTACTTAAAACAACAACAAACCCCCTTCATTATAAATATCTTAATTTTGTCTGATCAATCATAAAAGTTTCTTCAACACCTTAAATAGATTTCTTGATTTTTTTTTTTTTTTTGAGTTGGAGTCTCACTCTGTCGCCCAGACTGGAGTGCAGTGGCCGCTCCCAGCCACCGCAGCCTCGACCTGCTGAGCTCCAGCAATCCTTCCGCCTCAGCCTTCCAAGTAGCTGGAATTACAGGCGTGCACTACCACGCCCAGCTGATTTTTTGATTTATTGTAGAGATGAGGTCTCGCTGCCCAGGCGGGTCTCGAACCCGTGGGCTG